CATACACTCGTAGGCAGGGGTGAACTGGTGAACACCCGCGTCCTGGAGCGCAAAACCCGCCACCAAGTTCGTAGAGAACGAGGGGAGGTAAAGACCCGACAGTGTGCCGGACGGGACAGCAGGACAAGGGAGGACAGTGGAGGAGGTCGCACGGACTGGACCCCCAGAGGGGTCTGCTAGGGAGACTGGAACCGGCCGACTGAGCGGCGTGAGGGTGGTGCTATCGCGAAAGAAGGAGCGAGAAGCACCAGAGTCAAGTGTGAAGGTGTACAGGGCCGCAGCAGGCGCAGTACCAGAGAGAGCAGACTCACCAGCACCTAGAGCAGCGGTCTCACCCGTACCTAGAGCAGGATACACACTAGCCCCTAGAGCAGTAGCCTCACCAGCACCTAGAGCAGCAGGCTCTATACCTGGGTCAGGCGGTACGCACAGGTAACAGGCATGGTCAGCACTAGTAGGCAATGCATACATGGCAGTGAGAATAGCATCATAGTCAAGAGCAAATATATCTACCCTCTACCCAAGCAGCTCCACCCAGTCGGGGAGCTCAGCCTCGTCACCAAACTCTGTACGCCAGGCGTCGCTCAGACGGGCGAAGCGGCGGGACTGTGTGACTAAGAGTCCCGCAAGCCTGACCAATCCGAGCACCAGTGCGAATGACGTACGGGCAGCGAACGGTACTCAGAGACCCTCTACTCTGAGCGTACCACTCACGAAGCTGCTGGGGCGTGAGAGACTCGCGCGGACGTCGCTGGAGCTGCATCTGGCCACCGCCAGTAGCAGCAGTAGCAGTAGTAGCAGCAGTAGCAGCAGTAGCAGCGCGGCCACCCCGACAACCCCAACTAGCGTACCACGCACGAAGCTGCTGGGGCGTGAGGGACTCACGCCCCCGTCGCTGGAGCTGCATCTGGCCACGGCCTGTAGCAGCAGTAGCAGTAGCAGTAGCAATAGTAGTAGTAGCAGCAGCAGCGCGTCCAGGGCAGGCGCGGCAGGCAGGCAGGCGGGCAGGCGCAGCAGGCAGGCAGGCAGGCAGGTGAGCAGGTAGGCAGGCAGGCAGGCGGCAGCGCTCGAACAAGGCAGGTGCTCACCAGTGGCAGGCAGGGCCGGCGTTCGGCGGGGCCGCAACAGCGGCTGCAGAGTCGCGCCAGCAGCAGGTCTGGGCCGCGTCAGCGTCCTGGCGGGGCCGCGTCGGCGGCAGGGCGCGGCCGCGGCAGTTGCAGGGCTGGGTCGCGCCAGCGGCAGGTCGGGGCCGCGGCAACTGCAGGGCTGGCGGGGCCGCGTCGGCGTCTGGGCGGGGCCGCGTCAGCAGCAGGGCGCGGCCGCGTCGGCGTCTGGACGGGGTCGCGTCAGTAGTAGGGCGCGGCCGCGTCAGCCGCAGGGCTGGCGGGGCCGCGTCGGCGTCTGGGCGGCGCCGCGTCAGCAGCAGGGCGCGGCCACGTTAGCTGCAGGGCTGGCGGGGCCGCGTCAGCAGCAGGGCGCGACCGCGGCAGGTTGGGGCCGCGTCAGCGGCAAAGCGGGGCCGCGACCGCGGCCTGACGGGGTCGCGACAGCGACCTGGCGGGGCCGCGCTCTGGCCTGACGGGCCTGCAGAGGCTGCGTGCGGGCGGCGAGGGCCTGCAGGGGCGGCGCGCGGTCGGGCAGAGGCTGCGCGCGGGCGGCGAGGGCCTGCAGGGGCAGCGCGCCGGCCTGACGGGCCTGCAGGGGCGGCTCGCAGGCCTGAGTGACCTGCAGGTGGCGGCTCGGAGGGCTGACGGGCCTGCAGGAGCGGCTCGGGGGCCTGACGGGTCTGTAGAGGCGGCTCGGGGGCCTGACGGGCCTGCAGGGGCGGCTCGTGGGCCTTACTAGCCTGGAGGGGCGGCGCACTGGCCTAGGGCAGCAGGAGGCAGCGCGAGGGCTGCAAGACGGCGCGCGCAGCGCAGCACGTCACTAGGTAAGGCAGGCAAGCACAGGACAACACGTGGGGTAGCGCGGTAACCGCAACTAGCGGATATAACATTTGACACGATCTTCTTCGGGTCTGTCCTAATGCCACTAGCGGATACGACGTGTCCTAGGAACTCGACCTCGGGGAGAAAGAATTCGCACTTTGACTGCTTAGCGTATAGCTGCTCCCTCCGTAAAACCTCGAAGACCTTCTGCATGTGCTGCACATGCTCCTCTTTCGTCTTGGAGAATATAAGAATGTCGTCTAGGTAAACTACAACGAACGGACCTAGGAACTCGGAGAGGACGGTGTTCATGAGCGTCTGAAACGTCGCTGGGGCGTTGGTCAATCCGAACGGTAGAACCCTAAACTCGTACAACCCCTGCTTCGTACGAAACGCCGTCTTGTGCTGGTCCTCTGGAACTACGCGAATCTGGTGGTAACCGGAACGAAGGTCGATCTTTGAGAAGACTCTAGCGCCCTGCACTGCATCAAGAAGATCATCTACTCTCGGAACTGGGAATCTATTCTTGACGGTGGCGGCGTTCAGTGCGCGGTAGTCTATGCACATCCGTAACCCTCCGTCTTTCTTAGGCGCGAAAAGGATCGGTGCTGCCCAAGGCGATCTAGATGGCTGTATGAAACCCTGCGCGAGAAAGTGCCTAACCTGCTGCGTCATCTCCTCTGTCTCCGCTGGACTCAACCTCCACTGCGGCTTCGCTACTGGCCTGCTCCCCGGCTCTAACTCTATCCAATGGTCGACTGCTTGGCTAGGAGGTAACCCTGGGGGCAACTCGTCGGGGAAGACGTCTCTAAACTCCGCTAAGAGTGCACTCACTTCAGCAGGAAGAGTTGTCTTATCGCCAACTGCTGCGCTCCCTCCTTTCCCCTCCTCAGCTTCCACCTCCTCAAGGAAAACCGCGAAGATCCGCGCCGCACGCTTCACTAACTGTCGTACACAAACAGCATTAATGATAGCTGCGGAGGATGTGGCCGCATCGCTCCACTGTGGCAGCTCCCGGAACTCGACATCTACCTTGACGCTGCAGCTTCCCTGAGCCCAATCGAACTGAGTACTAACCGTCCGCAACCAATCTCTACCGAAGATGAAGTCGTAACCGTCGAGCGTCGCACAGTCGAAGTCGCGTCTAACTGTGATTGGTCCTAGCACCACGCGCAACTTGCGAATTACTGGTCCTATGTGAAGTGGCATCCCATCTACCATGCGAGCGTCCTTGAAGTTGACTGCCGAATCTGCTTCGAGATGGAGACGACTAACTAACGAAGATGAAACGAACGAGTGGCTAGCTCCACTATCGATGAGAATCTTGACTGGAACTCCACGAAGCTTCCATAGAAGCACGACTGGACGATCAACAGTGTCTACCTCGTTCGGCGTAAATGACTGCTCTAAGGCCGTCTCCTCTACGTTGGTAGACGCGGCGGGTTCGGAAGCGTCCACACCAGCTAGCGACCCGCTATCTACTGGCGGTTTCCGTTTCCCTGCTGCCGCTCCTTAAGCTGTGGGCAGTCCCGCTTCATGTGTCCCGGCTTTTTGCAATAGTGACAATTTCCCCTAAATCCCGTTTTCTGTGAGCCGTCACTGTTAACTGCACCAATCTCCATGGGCGATGGTCCCTCCCTCGATCGAGCGTCGTTGATCGGTCTATTGTATCCCCTATCGCGATCGTCACGACCCCGTCGGCTTCGTACTGCGTCGACGCGTTCTGCTGCTGCGACTACCGACTCGAAGGTGGACAACCCGTGAATCGCTATGATCTCCGCTATGTCCGGCTTCAACCCTTCGAGGTAGCGATCGCGCATCTCTACTTCCGTGATATCGTCTATCTCGTTGCAGATGCTCAAGAACCGTCGTGTGTACTCCTGGACGTTTCCTACCTGTCGGAAATGACGCAGACGCTTCCTAGCAGCTTCGGAGGCGTTCACCAAATCGAACCTACTTTTCAGCGCCGCTTCGAATCCTTCCCATGTGGTCGGAACCGTGGTAACACCCGAAGCTAAACTCCCTAAGCTCGAAGTTGTAGCTGCGTGCCCCACGCCCTGTTGATGCCCGTCCGTCTGAGCCCTTCTTACAGCAGTTTGCGTGAGTTGGCGCCACCACTCCAAGGCCGGGCCCCTCAGCAGCGTAACGGAGTACTCGATCCGCTGCTGCGCGTCCGCCTCTTGCACCCCGCTCGCGGCGAAGTAATTGTTGAGCATGAAGATCCACGTCCGCACGTTCGCGTCGCGTTGACTTGGGTCGAACGGCTCGGGTTTCTGTGGCTTGAGCGCACTTCGACGTTCCGGCAGCGCTTCCGCGCCAGTCGACGTGTTGGGTGCAGGAGATGGTGCGGCATGACCATGAGAAATCGACGCGAATTCACGAAGCTGTTGCATTTCAGCTCGTACCTGACGATTTTCCAACGTCAACTGTTCGAGTTGGCGCATGAGTTGAGCAAGCGTGTTGCCCATGTCATTGGGGAGAGCGTTCATGGTCTCGTCCATGTTGGCTCGACGACTCCAAGTCTGCAAGTCGGCACCGCGGGACGATGACGTCGTAGTCTCGTCGTCGACGGTCGCTCGTTCGAAGTCGCTCCCCTCGAAGGCTCCTGATACCAAGTGTTAGGCCCCTTGGCCTAAATCCGCTAAGGAATAGCGGGGTTGACTAAATTGTGGAGAAAGCGCGGCGGAAGACTTTGGCGAAAGATGTGTTAGCGAAATAGGCGAAGAAGTAACTAAGTAATTAAATAGTTGAATGAGAATTGATTGATATTGGTGGATACAAGCAAGGATGATATAGCATGCAAGGTCGAATGTCGGAAAGTACTTCGTGGGACTAGAAAGTAGAAGCAAGAAAGGTAGAGTGCCACGTGGCACTAGGAAATCTGAAAAGATAAGGATAAGGATGGGGTTGGGAGTACTGTTCAAAGGGAACAGTAAACACCCCTCTAACACTTGTGCTCATATTTCTATGTATACTGTAGAAATTTTTGGTGCCTCGTTCTTCGCTGGCAGAAATCTTCTCGCCAGCTCCACGACAACCCCAACCAAGCCCAACTCGAATTCGATCCTCTTCATGGCTTGGTTCTTGTTCTTGGTTCCTCTCGAGAAGCACCTGCTTTGCTCACTCCTTTTCCTCTCCACCCCAACTTCTTCTCTAGCTATTTCTCCTAAGGACGCGTTGAAAGTAGACGATCGATCGTGGGTGGCGATCGATGTGCGGATCTGTAACCCTATTTACTGTGCTGTAACCTTGCTACAGTACAGTTTTTTGCCAAAATTTGTGCACAGTGTGTGAATGCGACTGATCACTGATCGCAGGAGATCAGTGAGAGGCATCAAAGCGTCATTGATGCTCTCGAACCGAGCCTACTTGGCGTGATTGATTCTGATGCCTGCGACTTTCTGAAATTTCGCAGAGCCAGGAATCGCTGTCGCCCAAATTGTCCACACTTGGCGAAATCCGCAAACATCACATCGCCAGGGTGGTTGCCCTGTTGGCTGCGAGTGTCGCTGGTGGGTGTGGACGACGTATATGTTTTGGGTGCGAGTCGCATGCAAGGCAGTAATCTCGGCCCTGGAACATCCACCACAAAGCTCAGGTGCGATCGTTACAACGTATCGGTCTTCATGTTTCGCCAATCAATCTGCCCACTCGATTGTGGGGCTCGATTTATGCTCGTGATCCCGCGATATTTGCACTTTCAACGCGTCCTAACACCCCGCCGTCGCTAGTACCTCCCACCCAGCCGTTGCTCTCCCTCCCATCCCCCATATCCTCTCCCTCACTCCCCACCGTCACCACTCCCTCCCACTCTGCCACCGCCTCTTCCTCCCACCTTCGTCCCACCCCGCCATCTCCTCTCCCTTACCTCCCCGCCGTCGCCCTCTCCCTCCTCCCCGCCGTCGCCTCTCCCTCCTCCCCGCCGTCGCCTCTCCCTCCTCCCCGCCGTCGCCCTCTCCCTCCTCCCCGCCGTCGCCCGCTCCCTCCTCCCCGCCGTCGCCCTCTCCCTCCTCCCCGCCGTCGCCCTCTCCCTCCTCCCCGCCGTCGCCTCTCCCTCCTCCCCGCCGTCGCCTCTCCCTCCTCCCCGCCGTCGCCCTCTCCCTCCTCCCCGCCGTCGCCTCTCCCTCCTCCCCGCCGTCGCCTCTCCCTCCTCCCCGCCGTCGCCTCTCCCTCCTCCCCGCCGTCGCCTCTCCCTCCTCCCCGCCGTCGCCTCTCCCTCCTCCCCGCCGTGGTGGCCGGACCGCAAGCGCGGATTGGTGCGCAAGCGCGGGTCGTTTTCTGAGGCACCGTGGTTATCAGGTGCGTTCCCGGTCCTTTCATCCTCCCTCCCCCCTCTGAAATTTCCCTCTTTTTTTTTTGCTCTCTTCCTTTATTTTGTGAGAGAGAGAATGCGCGTGAGAGTGCGAGAGAGAGAGAGAGAGAGCGAGAGAGAGCGCGTGAGAGTGTGCCTGAGAGAGCGCGCGAGAGAGAGCGTGAGAGAGCGCGTGAGGGTGCGCGTGAGAGAGCGCGTGAGGGTGCGCGTGAGAGAGCGCGTGAGTGAGCGCGTGAGGGAGCGCGTGAGGGAACGCGTGAGGGAGCGCGTGAGAGAGCGCGCGAGAGAGAGCGTGAGGGAGCGCGCGAGAGAACGCGTGAGAGAGCGCGTGAGGGTGCGCATGAGAGAGCGCGAGAGAGAGAGCGCGTGAGAGTGTGCCTGAGAGAGCGCGTGAGGGTGCGCGTGAGAGAGCGCGCGAGAGAGTGCGTGAGGAAGCGCGCGAGAGAACACGTGAGAGAGCGCGTGATTGTGCGCAAGAGAGAGCGCGTGAGTTCGAGTGTGAGTGCAATTGCGCGTGCAAGGGTGAGAATGAGGGTGAGTGCGAGCTTGAATGGGAGCGTGAATGTGAGCGTGAGTGCGAGCGTGAGTGCGAGCGTGAGTGCAAGGGTGCGTGAGAGGGTGATTGAGAGGGCGAATTCGAATGCGAATGCGTGTGTGTGTGTGTGTGTGTGTGTGTGTGTGTGTGTGTGTGTGTGTGTGTGTGTGTGTGTGTGTGAGTGTGAGGTTTGGTGACATGGTGTGGGTGTGATTGCAATGGTGAGTGCGAACGCGAGTGCAAGTATGATTGGAAGCGTGAGAGCGTGCATGAGAGTGAAGGTGAGTGCGAAAGTGAGTGTGAGGGTGGGTGCGAGAGTGGGTGCGAGAGTGGATGAGAGAGTGAGTGTGAGGGTGAGTCCGACGGTGAGTGCAAGGGCGAGTTTGGGGTGCGTTTTTTACAAGACTCGACGTTTACGTCGGAAGGGCGTGAGAGAGCACGTGAGAGAGCGCGTGAGAGAGCACGTGAGAGAGCGCGTGAGAGAGCGCGTGAGAGAGGGAAGCGTGAGAGAGTGCGCGAGAGAAGGCATGTGAGAGGGCGCGTGAAAGAGCGCGTGAGAGAGGGAAGCGTGAGAGAGGGCGCGAGAGAGGGCGCGTGAGAGAGCGCGTGAGAGAGAGCACGAGAGAGCGCGTGAGAGAGCGCGTGAGAGAGCGCGTGAGAGAGCGCGTGAGAGAGCGCGTGAGAGAGCGCGTGAGAGAGTGCGTGAGAGAGCGCATGAGAGATCGCATCAAAGAGCGCGTGAGAGCGCGTGAGAGTGTGCGAGAGAGTGTGCATCAGAGAGCGCGTGAGAAAGAGAATGCACGAGAGAGTGCGCGAGAGGGAGCGCGAGGGAATGCGTGAGAGCCCGTGAGAGTGTGCGTGAGAGATTGTGTGAGAGAGCGTGTGAGAGAGCGCGTGAGAGTGCACGTGAGAAAACGCGTGAGAGGGCGCATGAGAGTGCGAGCGAGAGAGCGCGTGAAAGAGCGTGCGAGAGAGCACGTGAGAGAGAGAATGCGCGTGAGATTGCGAGAGAGGGTGCGCGAGAGAGAGCGTATGAGGGAGCGCGTGAGAGAGCGCGTGAGAGAGCGTGTTCGAGAGTGCGTGAGAGAGTGCAGTAGAGAGCGCGTGAGAGTGCACGTGAGCGCGTGAGAGTGCACGTGAGTGCGCGTGAGGGCGCGCGTGAGAGAGCGTGTGAGTGTGCGAGTGAGAGCGCGCGTGAGGGAGCGCACGAGAGAGCGCGTGAGAGAGCGCGTGAGTGAGCGAGTGAGAGCGCGTGCGAGAGCGAGTGAGAGCGCGTGAGTGCGCGCATGAGAGCACGTCAGAGAGTGTCAAAGAGTGCGAGAGAGTTCGCGTGAGAGAGCGCGTGAGACGCGTGTAAGAGAGCGCGTGAGAGAGCGCGTGAGAGAGCATGAGAGAGCGCGTGTGAGTGTTGACTTCTCTGTTTTAGCTTTATGCTGGGCGCGTGTGTGTTAGCTTCTCTGTTTTGGCTTTGTGCAGGGCGCGCGTGTGCTAACTTCTCTGTTTTTGCTTTGTGCAGGGCGCGTGTGTGTTGCCTTCCCTGTTTTTGCTTGTGCAGGGCATGTGTGTGTTGCCTTCCCTGTTTTTGCTTGTGCAGGGCATGTGTGTGTTGCCTTCTCTGTTTTTATTTTGTGCAGGGCGCGTGTGTGCTAACTTCTCTGTTTTGCTTTGTGCAGGGCGCGTGTGTGCTAACTTTTCTGTTTTTTCTTTGTGCAGGGCGCGTGTGTGTTGACTTATCTGATTTCCCTTTGTGCAGGGCGTGTGTGTGTTGACTTCCCTGATTTTGCTTTTGCAGGGCGTGTGTATGTTGACTTCCGTGATTTTGCTTTTGCAGGGCGTGTGTGTGTTGATTTCCCTGATTTTGCTTTGTGCAGGGCGCATGAGCTGAGAAGGGAGATGAGGGAGGGAGTGGGATGCAGATGAGGGAAGGAGAGAGGGAGGGTTGTAGGGAGGGGGAAGGTGGGATAGGCTAGCAATCATTTCTGCATTTCTGAATTTTATTCATGATTGTTGCGTCTTTATTACTGTCTCTGTACCTATCTGTGCTTGTTTGCGTGTGTGTCTGTGTGCTGTGCATGTGGTTATGTGTGTGTGTACGTGCGCGTGTGAGCCTATGTGGGATATGTGTGTGTTTGTCTGTTTGCACCTGTCTTTCTTGAGGCGTGTGCTAAAGTGCCTTGTGTATGCAACTGATGCGTGATGTTAAAGTGTGTCGGGTCTGCATTTGAGGTGGGGATCGTTGTTGGGGCAGCGTTGCTTGCCTTAGCATACCGGAACCACCTTTGCTGTAGCACCGGTGCAATTTAGCATTCACTCGCAGTTGTTTGTGTTGTTTTTGCACGTGTCATGCAACTGAGGTGTAATGTTAAAATGTGTCGGGTCTGCATTTGAGGTGGGGATCGTTGTTGGGGCAGCGCTGCTTGCCTTAGCATACCGGAACCATCTCAGTTGTAGCATCTATGCATTTTAGCATTCATTTTCAGTAGTTATGTGTTGTTTTTGCACGTGATCAATGGATGCAGTGCACATGATTTGCATTCACGTCCAGTGGGTGTTTCTCGTCAATTGTGTTTCGTGACGACCAATTGTTCCATTCGCCGTATTTATCAACGATTATGGAATGAAAGGTTACATTTGGTTTCATTTTTTGGGGACTCATGTGTTATCAGTGCTTACGTCATCTCCACAACTTTGGAGCACTCGTTTTGAAAACGTTAAACGAGGGCTTCAAACGTTGGGAAAATGACCAAAATTGCACTGTTCATTCGAGTTGACCGAAAAGTGCTACCAAATGTATAGGGTTGCTACGCAACCCAAAAATCTTACCACATCCAATGTACGGTACACACGTAGAAAAGAGAAGCAACAAAAAAAGCACTCAAGCAACACAAACGGTGCCACAAATTATAAAAGAAAGTGAACTGTTGCAGAAGCAATGCTTGCCAGGAATCAAATCATAGACTGTAGCTGCGTAGCTGTACCTAGCTTCGAATACATCCACTGTAAAATCAGGAACCTGGAGCAGACTCACAAAACTAACCCGTGCCTCGTCAACTTATCCATATTGAAAAGCAGTTGTTATGTCAAATGAGTCACCTTGGAAATTCCTCGCTGGTCCGTGCTTCATCTGAAGAGCCCCCATTCTCCGCAGTACCACCACCATCTCCATTCTCCGCCACAGAGGCCAGGGTTGAATCAGCCACTTGATAGGGGCTCTTCATGAGGTGTGGGTCGTGCTGCTGCACCACAAGAATGGACGCACTGCCCTCCACGCCCACCAGCATGTCTCCCACCGGGCCTAGCTCCGAGCCTCCCTCGTGCGTGCTGCCTCCACTGTGTCCAAACCTGCCCAGGTTCATGGCTGCTGGGCCGTGGAAGTAGGAGCGGAAGGGCGTGCGCTGCGCTGCAATCTGCGCCACCAAGGCCGTGGAGCGCCGGCCGCGGCCAACAATCACCAAGTCGTAGTCGTCCAGACTCGCTGCAGTCAGCGCTGCCACTGGATCCTCCACCTGCCGCTCCTCGTACACCATCTTCCGCTTCCGCACACTCCCACTCGCCTCCCCCTCTCCATCCACACTCGTCTCTGCTGCTGCTGCCTCCTTGGCTGCAAGTGCTTCCTCCTGGCGGGCCTTGTCAATGATGGGCGCCAGAGCCGCATCGTCCAGCTCCCTCTCGCGGTCCACCTCCACCTTATCCACGGGCACCAGGAACGACACCGTCTTGTCCCCTCCCTTGTGCGCGTGCCCGTGCCCAGACGCAGACCCACTGGCATGCACGAGCGAGCGCTGCTCCTGCTGTGCCACCACAAAGCCCAGCTCCACCTCCTCCGTGGCCACGAAGCGCACGATAGAGAAGGACACTCCCGGGTGCTCCTCCATGCGCCACGCCACTGTGAGCGCCTCACGGTCGTCCGGCCCGCCGAAGAAGAGCACGGCAATGCGGTACGACACGGCGGTGGGGGAGAGGTGCGAGAACCCACCAAAGCCGCGGTCCACCAGGATGGCCACGGAGCACGGCGCGGCTCGCAGCACACGGCGCGTCACCATCTGGAAGCCCGGATGCACCGCCTCCATTGACCCGTCCGGGGTCTGCCATGCCATGCCACGCCACATCACAAGGCAACAACACGGAAACAGAGGCACGTGAATCACAAGCACACACATAAGCTGGACCATGCAGGCGAGCATATTGTTCAGTGCAAACATGATCTTGAATCGCACAAAGGCAATAACCCGCCTTGCGCAAGTACGTACAGCCAAGAAACTCTAGGCATGATTACCATGAATTTGTGGTAGGGCAGGACGATGAGGTTGGAGCGTCTGTCGGCTGCGGTGATGCAGATGTCCTCGTGCATGTTGTCAAACTTGGAGATGGCTGTGAGCGGCTGCACATTCACGCGGCTCAGCTGTGAGTACGCCTGGAAGGCCACCACCACCTGGTCCCTGCCCGCCTGCTCGCTCTCCTTGGACCAGTACGGCCGCCCGTCGCGCCGCA